GAGAATATAGAAAAGAGCTGTGTATGTTTTCCTTAATGAGAATGAGCGTACAGTGCTTTACTTTATAACAGCCTAACCACTAGATTAGGATAACAACCAATAACAATCTTACACTTGGCACACTATACTAAACTCTTAACTAACAGGCATGTGCTATTCTCACTATCATCCCCCCTCAAGATCAAGTTAGGGTGGCCTAAGCTTGAGATTGCTGCAGTGAAAGTCAAAGGAAGGAGAGCAGAGGCCCTTGGTAAGAATATCTGCAACTTGAAGGGAAGAAGGAACATGCTGCAAGTGCAGCTGACCACCAGTAACCTTTTCTCGGACAAAATGGCAGTCAACTTCTATATGTTTGACGTGAGAGTGAAGGACTGGATTGATGGAAAGTGCCATGGCAGACAGATTGTCACATAAGAGTAAAGGAGGAGAGGACATAGGAAAATGCACATCGCAAAGAAGCTGTTGAAGCCAAGAGAGTTCAGCTGTAGTTGTTGCCATCGACCTATATTTCGCCTCAATAGAGGAACGAGATACAGCATGCTGTTTCTTAGATGCCCAAGAAATAGGATTGGAGCCTAGAAACACAACAAAGCCAGAGGTGGAACGACGATCATTGGGATCACCAGCCCAATCAGCGTCAGTGTAAGCCTTCAAATTGAGAGAACCAGGAGAGAATAGGAGACCATAGTCCATAGTGCCCTTAAGATATCGCAGAATGCGTTTAACAGCAAGATAATGTGATTCCAAAGGAGTAGTCATGAATTGACAGACTTGATTAACACTAAAGGAAATGTCAGGTCTTGTAAATGTAAGGTATTGCAGAGCACCAACCAAACTGCGATAATGAGATGGATCAGAAAAGAGGAGGCTACCATCCTTAAGAAGCTTATGATTTGGATGACAGGGTGTGATACAAGGCTTGCAATCCAACATCTGTGCTTTACTCAAAATATCTGTAATGTACTTAGACTGATGAACAAAGATACCACCTGACTGATACTGAATCTGCAGCCCCAGAAAATAATGAAGATCTCCCAAATCTTTCATATCAAACTCCTGAGCAAGCTGAGAAATGACCTCCTTAATAGAGCTCATAGAATTCCCAGTAATGATAATGTCATCAACATATAAGAGAAGTAGAACCAAAGAATCACCCATGGATCGAATAAACAAAGAAGGATCAGCAGCAGAAACTTTAAAATCCAGAGACGGAAGAAATTTAGTAAATCGATCATTCCAAGCACGAGGCGCTTGCTTTAAACCATACAAGGATTTAACCAATTTACAGACATGAGTAGGAGACTTAGAATCAATAAACCCCTTAGGTTGAGTCATATATACCTCTTCATGGAGAATGCCATGTAAAAAGGCATTCTTGACATCCAATTGCTTGAGTTTCCAACCAAAATGAGCAGCTAGAGCAAGAACAAGCCGAACTGTTGTTGGCTTAACCACAGGGCTAAACGTCTTGGAATAGTCAATACCAGCCTCTTGAGAGAAACCTTTGGCAACTAACCGTGCTTTGTAACGAGCCACTGAACCATCAGAATTCTTTTTAATGCGATATACCCATTTGTAGTCCACCAAATTTTTATCAGGAGGTAAAGGGACAAGAGTCCAAGTCCCTTGAGAGTGGAGAGCATCTATTTCTTCCTGCATAGCAGTTTGCCACTGGGAACACTTAGCAGCAGAGGCATATGTAGTAGGTTCAACATCAGGCATAGAAAGAGAAGACTGCTGAGACGGGGCACACAATAAAGCTCGTCGCTTGAAAATACCACTTTTGCTTCTAGTCCGCATAGGATGAATATTCTGAGGAGCAGCAGGCAAGACTGCCTGTAAATCCAGGGATTGAGATGAGGAAACAGATGGAGGTAAAGACATAGATGGAGAGGCAGCAACAACAGCTGCACTACTCAGAATAGGAGGAGAAACAGAAGAGGATGCCACAAAGGATGAGGAACCTGACTGAGGAATGAGATGAAGTGAAAAATCATGGGGTGGAAAAGAAAAGGAACCACCAGAAACCGGAGCAGGAGAAACGGTAGGTGGAGACAACGAAGAGACAGACACGGATGCCAGTAATAAAGTGCCGGGAAAAATAGTCTCATAAAAAAGAACATGTCTAGAAACAAGCAATTTCTTGGCCACGGGATCA